AGTTTAGTTCAGAGCTAAGCAAGGCGTATAAAGTTGGCCGTGAAAGGTGGTGGTGTCTTTTGCCCTCATCACTGTCGTGCAGTGGCCCATCTGAACAGCGTGGAGAATACCTAAAGCGCCGCAGCCCAACAAGATGGCGCGAAAGTAATTTCCTCGCGGTTTGTGAAGCGTTTGCATGATGAGCATGGTACTACTTAAGGAGTTAGTGCTTCTTATTTCAGAGTATGGTTCAAACGGGCGTCTTACAGCAAACAGAAAGTGGTGGAATAGGTACACATTACTAGCAAAGTGGCACGGGGATATAGCAAGACAGTAGTCTTACAAAAAAATAAAACATGCAGGCAACTGACATCTTATTGAAGACCGTGGTTAACATGCATGTATTAAGTGAGTCTGCACAGTTTTTCTTACTTTTCCCAGTTTCTAATAGTTTGAACATGCAGCCATCATGATAGAGCACGCTGTGCAGCTTTGAGATGTATCAAGCAAGCAGCCATGACTGTTTTGTTGCCTGTCAGTGTATCAGCAGAGTTTGAACCATTCAGTCTGCCGCTTCAGCTGGTGAAGCTGCTGACAGTACAGCAGCAGCACGAGAAAGAAGTAATCCTTGATGATGGGAATCACATTTACCTTTGGGGGCTTTTGAAGCAGCTATGTACTTTTAAGGTTTGACTTGTTGAAGTCTGGTGGGGTTTTTTTGTTTCTTGGCTGTTGGCCCACCTTTCTGTTTTGGGGAGTGTTGCTGCCAAATACCAGTCCTTGTTGCTGTGTCCTACATGTTCTAGTTTGTTCTTAGATACATCTTTTTTCCCTACCCAAATGTTTCTTGTCCCTGCTTGTTATTTTCCTAAAGTTTCTTCTGTCCTTTCCCCCCTGTTTTGAAGTGGATATCATTGGATGTTGCTGTACAGATAAGCCTACTGTTGTCACTTTTGTCAGTGATCAGAACAGGAGTGGCGTTGTTAAAAATAAAGTCTGGATTTGACCAACTGCCAGTAGACTGAAGTGCTGTGTGCAGGTCCTTTGCCAGTATGTCTCAAGAGCTGAGAGGAGGCTCAAGCAAGCTCTGTGGGAAGGAATCCTAGGGGAACTTTAAAGCTTTGGCAAACCTTTACCATGTTTATGTAAACTGGCCCTTTCAGGGTGTGCGATACAACTAAATGTGAGTGACTTTCATGTAACTGATAAAAAGCATACCCCTGTCAAATTTGAGATCATACTTCAAAAATGAGCCATTGTTTCATTATAGAAAATCTTATTTTTGTTTTTCTTTCCGGCCAGGTAAGCATTTCTGTACGAAAATCGCATGTAGATGCAGACACCCAGGGAGAGACATCTGGAGATCCAGACATCCAAAAATTCTCTTGCTCTTTGTATCCTGTCATCACGTTTTTGGAAAAACTGAAAATAGTGCTTGCCAACTGAATATTTTTTAAAACTTCTTGTTTATTGAGCAGCTACTGCTGAGATCTTTTGTTATTTCAGTTGTACCATTTATATTATCATTTTATTAACTTGATACCTAAATAAACTGATGTGAGTTCAGATAATACTGCGTGAAGTGCAGATACTCAGATACTATAATATTTCAGTGATTTCTGCACACATATAAAAGGGACATGCCTTTAGATATAAGTATCTTCCTCCTTCAGCATGCTTTGTCTTAAAAGCAACAAGTTTGGAGCAAGGATTAAGTGTAAAACTACTAGCTTAAGAGTCATCAGAACACCCAAATTATGAATAGCTAAGCTACTGATTAGTCTTTCTGGAGAGGTGGGATAGCTAGTCTACAGAGCAATATGCCATAGACCAACAGTAATCAAAGCCTGGAAAAAAAAAAACAACCCTTGAGTCAATCGTGAAGTTTTGAGTCACCTGTAGGCATTATCCGGATGTGGTAGTTATGGGAAGAAATGCTGTGACTAACTGTGTGGAGGGAGCCAGCAGACACACACACACACCCCCCCCCTCCCCGGACAGTGCTCTGTTCACAAGCACAAGTGAAGAGCTAGGTTGCAATACCTGTTCTGCTGGTCGAATGCCATTCCTGCAGCCTAAAGCAGCTTGAGCAAATAAGGTAGTTACACTCTTTTGGCTGTACAGAAGGGAGCCATCTTACTGCATGTCAGCAATCTCTGGCTGAATAAATTCCATGGAGCACTTGTGGATACAGCAAGTGGTTGAGTTGTTACAGTAATGTCTTTGCTGCCCCATCAGGTTTCATCTACAGCCTTTGCTGTTGTACAGTTATTTATATAAAGTGACTAAAATTGCTCTCATAAAGGATTTGAAAATATAGTTGACATTACATATCCTGAACTTAAAGGATTTTGAATGTCTTAAGAAAATAATTGTGCAGACTTGCTTTGAAAGATTTTCAAATTAATGCATTTTATTTTCAAACATTCATTAAAAAAAAAAATTGCAGTACCACTTGACAAATTATACTTCTTAGAAGAAATATATAAATGTCTACTTTGTTAAAAAGAAAATGTCTTGCTTTTTGTTTTCAGGTGATCACTGGAGGCCATTATGATGTTGACTGTCGGTTGGAAGATCCTGATGGCATTGTATTGTACAAAGAGATGAAGAAACAATATGATAGCTTCACATTTACTGCATCCAGAAATGGAACATACAAATTCTGCTTCAGCAACGAATTCTCTACTTTCACACACAAAACTGTGTACTTTGATTTCCAGGTTGGAGAAGATCCACCACTGTTTCCTAGTGAGAACAGAGTAACTGCACTTACCCAGGTAAAATCCTATTGTGTTTGACAGCAGCTGTTGGGTGGAGGCAATGTTTTTTTTAAGTTCAGCTGCATTAGATATCTATATCACTTTTGAAAATCAATGGATTGGAGCTTTTAAAATAATCTGAATTACTACAAATAAGCTTTTTTTTCTTAAGATACGATTTATAGATCACAGAGCAGAGCTGAGGAAGAATCACCAAGTGCTTAAGAGAAAATTAAGGTAGTAACTTAAACTCTAGGGCACTATTTTATTTTTGTGTGTGTGCGCGTTGAGGGAACTTCCTTTTAATACCATGGTTCTGTGCCTCTTGAAGTGTGGATTTCACAAACTGTAAATATTGGTGGATCAGGGTTTTCAAAATTTCCAGACTTTGGCGAAACTTTGAGAATTGCTTTTATATTTAAAGTGGTAGAGTCCTTTTTGAGGGAGACTTAAGTTGACCTCTCATGTAACTACCATTTTTAAAATGGAGAAGAAAATTCTGGCAAAATAAACAAGTGAACAAAATCAGCCATATTTAGCTGGCTTCTAGATATTTGTCCTTTATAAGACACTACAAAGTATCAGAGCATTATTATTATACTCTCAGGATTTTATGGTTTTGTACCACCTCTACCCAATCTAAGTCCATTAAAACTTCCATCGGAACACTTGGTTCATGAATTCCCACTAATGTTCTTACATTATAACCATCACCAAACCTCGCTTTAAACAACCATTGAAGAATGCTGGACATGGTCACTATTTTGTTAGTCTGGACTCAGTTATATATGTACTGCTTCCCAAATGGCAATCTCACTTGAATTTATCTCACATAAGGCTGCAGTAGCTGAGATCTGTGATAAGTAGATGGCTTGCTGTTAGTTCAGCTACAGCTCTGTCTTACTGCTCTTCTGCTCTGCTTTATTTTGTATTCTGATTCTTGATCTTTCCATCTCTTTTCCTTACTTTAGTCTTCATTCTGTTCAGTCTGTGTGTTCTGTTAGATCTGTTCTTTCTTTTGCTTTCTTGGCATCAGCAGGGGGATTTTGAGAATGCAGAACTTGGGGTTCCTGGGTCTAGCATCTCTGCAGCACCTTGCAGCCTGTAGGAGAAGATATATAAAAATACTGTTCATGACTGGGTTGTAGTGTACACAATGCAAATAAGGTATTTGGGAAGAGGAGAGTTAATTTTCAGAGCACGGCGCATCTTTGGTAAGAAGGTTCTTGTTGCAGTTTTCTTGAGGCTTGTATCATGACCAAATTTGGCCAGCCTTTCGCAGTAAAAGGTAAATCCCTAAAACCAGAGTGACTTTGTGTTTAAATCCCTTGTGCAGTCTTGGAGAGCTCCATAATTTATCAGTGACACCAATGGCAGAACTTAGTTTGGAAAACCTCTTCCTGAATTTTGTTGAGAAGAATATCTTAGACTTGTTGAAATAACCTGTCTTAAAAGTCATCAACTTGAAAAGATGGTTAGACACAGATAGAAGTAACTGAGAGTGGTCCTATCAGGGTGTTGAACATTTCCTTTTATGATAGGTTGTGCTGTTTCATCTTTAGGAAATAGTAATTTTAAGCCATAAACCAGAAAAAACAATCTGTGACTAGAAAGAAAGTATTTTGAAGATCTATTGATTAATCTTTTGGTGATCAGAACAGTAAGGGGTACTGACTTTTACTTACAGAAGATAAACTGAAAGTGGAACAAATTTATGTGAAATATTATCTAGGGCTTGGAAAACTGGTAATACTTTTTTTTAAATGAAAAATTACAGTGACATTGGGCAATTTGTTAAGTATTTGTTACATGTTTGTTACGGAGCATTCAGTAATGCTGAAAGGTAACAGAATTGTCCTTTCTCTAACCACTTTTTGTGTATGTGACTAAGAGAAGGGTCTCTTGCCAAAATAACATGTTGACTTCAGTAATGTAGATTTTTAGAATGTTGTACAACTTGAGTGAGAATTATGCAATGAAGAATGTCACACTTGTAAAACACAGAAGCATTTAATATATACTGTGTGCATCTTAATGTTGTAAGCAACTGTTTGTTTTCCTGGTATGTGTGGAATTAACAATGCGGAGATCATTGACATTTCAAAAGTGTTTCTAATGTTCGTTTTGCAACCAAATATACATAAATTTAAGACTTGTTTAGTCGTTCTCAGAGCCCATTGCTTTATATTAATTCTGTAGTTTTACCTGCTTCTGTATTTAAGTCTGTTGCATACCTGTGAATAGAGTTTGATCAGTTTTACTGCATTCACAGTATTTCAGTCTGACAACAGACTAAGTTAATCCTTAGCTTGCAAAGTTACACAAATCTTAATTTTAAATACGAAATCACAAAACTTCTCAGAAAAAGTAGTAGAAGGGTTCGTAATTCAGTGGTGTGTATTTGTTTGCTTCTCTAGATGGAGTCTGCATGTGTTTCAATTCATGAAGCTTTGAAGTCTGTCATCGATTACCAGACTCACTTCCGCTTGAGGGAAGCACAGGGCCGCAGCAGAGCTGAGGATTTAAACACGAGGGTGGCCTACTGGTCAATAGGGGAAGCAATCATTCTTCTTGTCGTTAGTATCGGGCAGGTATTTCTTCTCAAAAGCTTCTTCTCGGATAAAAGAACCACAACAACCCGTGTTGGTTCGTAACTGGTAGTGGTAATACTTCAGGTCATTGTGTGCTAACTCATCTGTAAAAATTACTGTTCTCCAATTAATTGCAGGTACAAAGGATATGAATATATGCAACATTCAAGTGTGTCTACCCCTCATCCCTTTAAAAATCACAAAACAGACCCAAAATGTTATGAAAAGGATACATGATTTGAAATATTTTTAAAATACTTTGGAAGTTAAGTTTTTTCTGATTCCTGTATCGAATATCTGGCAGTGACCAACGTCTCTTAATTTCTACTGATTTTAATCTGAACTGAGTTTGATTTTTACCAGTAAGGTTAACCATCTGCAGTATAACACTTTAAAATAACCCAGCAGTCTAGTGTCTGATATGAGAGCCAATAGATAAGAACATTTGATTTGATTTCAATTTTCAGGCTGAATGTATTGGATTATGAAAAGGCAGACGTGATGAACTGTAGTGCACTGTTTTGATGTGCTGTTAAAAAAAAAAAATCCAATGATACTCCTTGTTTATCTGTAGAATTGTTGTAAGCTTGGCACTACTACATCATGGTGCAAATTCTCCATCAGCCTGGTAAGTCTCCACCCTCAAAACTTGATAAATTTTATGCTTGAGTATGTTTACTTAAACATACATTCTCCTGTATTAAAATAAATGCATTTCCTCTTTCGCAATGTTTGTTTTACTGAACAAATTGTAAGCTGAGATTACTCAGGAAATCCACTTTCTGCATTCAAAAATCCCGAACTCCAAGTATTTTTAAAAAACATGCAATACAAGGGAATCTTGTAACTTTGTCACTGAAATTGTACGGTTTCTGTACTCATCTATGCTGCTGCTGCTTTTTGGATTTAAGACCAGAAGTAGCTTGGTTTGTTAAGCAGCATAGCACCAGCACTGGACGAGGTTGTATTATGTGTTAGGCACATACAAAGCCTTTTACTAAATTGTTTTCCTATTAAGAGGCCAATTTGATATTGATACTGCATTGCACGAATGCTGTAAATTTTACGTTGCTGTGTGTGGTGCACTGATACTTGATGGCCTTGTGCATCTAGTTGCCACTCTTTTTTGCTAGTGGTCAGGAAATGTTTAAAATATTTCAGGTTATCTTTTTGGTAGAGTTATAGTTACATTCTTTCCACTGCTTATGTCTTTAGTAGCTTATGTACTGTAAAGTCTTGTTTTATTTGTATGTGGAAGGTAGAAAATATATGTACCCACATAGAGCTTCAGTTGAGCTGGTCATAATAAGGCTAAACTTCAAATGGCTCTGGAGGAATGAGTAGACTGACCAATTCTTAAGTGCACACAAACTGAACTAAGGTGAAAAAATTTGTCATATATTACTGGCTAATTTGAAAGATGCTTCTTACTTCTCAGCAAGTAGAGAAAGAATGCTAAACCCTTATTAATTGCCTGTATTATGTCTAGCAAAAAATTGAAGTTACGTGTACAGGTGACACTTGGGCAGTCTGAAGAATTGATCTAAGATGACTTGATTTTAAATTTTTTAATGGCTGAAAAAGTAAACAACAGTGCACCTACTTACTGTTGTGAACTGAATGACTGCTCTTTTGGAATCTGAAGGAAAAACTCAAACAGCTCAAAAATTATTTATAATGTCACTGGGGTATTAAAAAGCTTAAAGTATGTAAAATGCAGGATTATATATAATGTTTTTCTATCCTGTACTGAATTTCAAATACTGCAGTCCCATTCTGGGATGCAGACTTCCCAGAATTAGACTTAGAAATATCAGAAAACAAAAAAAAATAGTGCTTTCTTCTTATGATGCAAATCTGTGCCTGCACACAATATTCTTGATTGTACCTATATGCTTTATTCTTGTGTTTGAGCAGCTGATATTCAGTACTTTTTGTGCTGCATTGCACACAATAATGAAGCAAACGGTACACTTTGAGTGCAAGTGTTGGATGAAAACATCATTTGATTTTGATAGTGTCCACTATTATCTTCTGGAGTTTGAATATCACTTGTGTAGCTTTAATCACAGCAAAAGCATTTGTTTTAAAGATTGAAACATGTTGGGTTTTTTTTCCACTGAGTTGTTCTGTGTGCTGTCAAAATTGGTGAACAGTGGGATAAAAGATAGTGGTCAGCCATCACGTACATGTCTCTATTGTTTCGTCATGTTTCAATGTGTGAAGTGGGACTGTTCAGCTCAGTATTGCTCCCACTGCAGAGGTTTAGTGGACTTGACTTTTGCATTGAATTTAGATATTTGAACCAGTCCTTTGGTATCCTGCTGCATAATATGCAGCAATAGCTTAAAATGCCTTTATTTTTGTGTTATTAAAAACATGGCACAAATACACGTTTAAACATAGCTGTATATAGTTTTTAAAATAAGTGACTGACTAGGATATAATAAAACACATGCTAACATGCAATGGGTGAAGAAATGCGTTGTGACTTTTGGTTAAAGCTGCATCTTTTTAATATATGAAAAGAATTGTTTGGTTAATGGCAGGAGGCACAAGTAAACACTCTGCGTTAAAGGGGATATAACTGTGTTTTTAATTGCTAATGGCCCTGGGTTTCAGCTATTCCTTGGATGTTTTATGTTTACAGAACTTCTTTTCATGTCCTGAAATGTCAATTCTTGTGTTAGTTTTGGGGGGGAGGTTTAGTTTGAATAAGACGAAAAGCAGACCTTGTGAATATTGTATGGGAAAATAAAAATTAATATATGAATGTGGTCTGATTGTTTTGTTTGCCTGTGGGAGTGGGGAGCATTATTCTTCAGAAAAGCTTTGAATAACGATTTGAGTAGTCAACACATTACAGTTAATCTACCGCCTGACACTTGATCATTACTTCTATTGCTGTACATCAAGAAGTGCTGTTCATAATGAGCTGTGCTTTCAGGTCACTGGAAAAACTCAAGTTTCAGCAAGATGGTGTGGTTTCAGGCTCTTTGCTCAGCACATTAGCAGTGCAGGCACTAGTAGTCATAAATCTGTTCCTGCTGGAGTGGAATTCAAAGTAATTGACTACAGATGCCAGGCATGATTTGGAATCTACAGCATCTTTTCCCATTAATTCTGTAGACACAAGGTAAATGTGGGATAAGCTAGATAGGTGCATCCAATATAGTGTTGTCTAATGATGGAATATAAACTTATGTAGTAAAACTTAAAAAAAATTAAAAATTTTAAAATTAAAAAAGTAGTAACTGTGTGATTTGAGATATATTGTGTAGCTTCTTGCTGAATCTTAGCACCTACCATTTAAGTTTTAAAAACAAGATAGGCACCATTGCTTTGTGTGGACACCTTCCAAAATGGCTTTTTCTTCCTGTTTATGTCTTCTCCTGTGTCAGTTGCTGTACATTCAAAAATTTTCAAGAATATTTACAGTAATTGGATTAAAAAAAAGCTTTTGTCTAGAAGTATGGTTAAGTTCTTATCTTTCAGTGATGTGTTATTGCATACTGGCTTCATTTGGAATAGAGTTAATTTTCTTCCCAGCAGCGGGTATAGTGCTGTGTTTTGGATTTAGGATGAGAACAATGTTGATAACACATGGGTGTTTTGGTTGTTGCCAGCAATGGTTACACCAAATGAAGGACTTTCTGGCTTCTCATAGCCAGCAAGGAGGCTGGGGGTGCACAAGAAGCTGGAAGGGGACACAGCTGGGACAGCTGTCATTTTGGACATGACCAAAGCATGTAACTTGGGAAAAAGCTGGCTGGGGGTTGGAACTGTGGCTCGGGAACTAGCTGGGCATTGGTGGTCAGCGGGTGGTGTGCAATTGTGCTGTGCATCACTTGTTTGGTATATTCTTTTATCATCATTATTATTTCCCTTTTCTGTCCTATTAAACTGTCTGTCTCAATCCATGATTTTTACTTCTGCCCTTCCCCCCCCCCCGATTTTCTTCCGCATCCCCCTGTGGAGGAGAGGAGAGAGTTAACAGCTCTGTGGTTGCTTTACCTTCTTGCTGGGTTAAACCAGGACAGTCTTACTGGCTCCCAACACAGGACATGAAGGGTTGAGATAATGACAGATCTGACCAGAGCATGTCAGTTGCCAAAGAGTGCAGCTTCGGTGCCGGCCCAACTCACAGCGGAGCAGCAGATCTGGGTGCACAGGGTTTTGCATGACTTTCTAGAGGCAGGGAAATGCCAGGGAGGCAGAAGAGACCCGCCATGAGCCAGCTGCCCTTGCGGGAACCAGTGACGAGACCTGGGTGTTGCCAAAGCAATGGTGCCCACCCCCAAGGCCTATAAAAAGCAGCCTAGGGAGTGCTAGCGACCCGGAGCGTGGTAAACAGAGAGGGCAAACAGAGCATGGGACGGCAGTTTGCGCAGGCAGGGCATGCGGGTCGGGCCTTGTCACTCTACCTGCTCAAGAGGGGAGTCCATTGGTGGTCATTGCCCTCTCACAGAAGGAGTTTAGCCATTGCACTCGTGCGGTGGAAAGCTCTAACCTCTGTGCTTGCCAGAAGGCATGTGGCAGCCCAGACAGAGCTGCCACAGAAGCATGCTCACCCAGCTCTCAGGCTGCAGGGAGTGTCTGAGCTTGGCACTGGCAGGGAAGGGTGGTGGTGAGATTGGCTGCATGAGGTGTGACCAGGTGGATGATCTGCTGAGCCTGGTGGCAGAACTACATGAAGAAGTGGAAAGGTTAAGGAGCATCAGAGAGGCTGAGAAATAGACTGGTGGAGCCAAGCTTTGCCCTCCCCAAGACAGAAACGGACAACTAACAGACAAAAACCAAGGTGAAGGGGACCCTGTATCCTCCCCTTGCCAGGCAGAAGGCAGTAGCCTCAAAGGGAGGAGTGAATGGAAGCAAGTTCATGTTTGGCATGGCAGGCAAGCCTTCTCATCCTCACCCACCTTGCCTTCCCATGTACCCCTGTACAACAGGTATGAGACTCTGGCTGTGGAAGGGCACTCAAAGGACGATATGGATGATAGCCAAGCTACACCAGAGGTAGTACCTAGGCCAGAAAGGCCTGCACCTCCTGTCGTGACCACTGCCACAAAGAAGAAAAGTCAGGTTATAGTTGTAGGGGACTCCCTTCTGAGGGGTATAGAGGGCCCGATATGCAGGGTGGACCCTCCTCTCAGAGAAGTCTGCTGCCTCCATGGGGCCTGTGTTAAGGACTTTACAAGGAAACTCCCCAGCCTGGTATGGCCCTCTGACTATTACCCA